TGCGAAAAATTTAATTTTGTAACTGTCGTATTGTTAAAATGTTTTGCAATTGTAGTATCACGTGAAGCAAATTTTACATTTTGTGGTTTACAAGTTTTTTATTTGTAAGATTGTTAAATGGCATGCCGCTTGTTTAGTACTGACTATGAACTTAAAAAGACAACTCCCGCATTCGGAATACATTCCTGTGTCGCGCGTGACTTTACAACACACATGAAACGGACACAGAGAACACCCAGACTCAGAACAACAATTTGTGGATCACACAAAGTGTCGTCCCATGTGGGGTTTGAACCCACAACACTCGGCGCAGTAGGAAGCGGCGTGGCGACCGCTTAAACCACTACGCCATCCGTGCAGTCCGTGCAGTTAAATGTTGTTAAACGGTATAGGGTAAATGTAGGTACAACTTTTTATTTAATTCACTTTTTAAGAAGAGTACCTGGTCTTAACACTTATCTACGGCTTATAAATCTATAGAGTGAACGCACTTCGTTCTGTCCGTTTGTAGAGTCCTATTTTGTTCCATAATTCTTTTTCAATTTATAAAAAATCAATTTAAATGTAAACAATTATATTTTTTAGCCGACAATATTTCTTATCATCAAACAAATGTTGCCTAAGTAACTTATTGTAATATGAAGTGGTTTGTGAAAGTTCCGTGCAAATCGGTTTACCCGTTTCGGAGACATACCGTTACAGACAGACACAATACTTTTTACAAGTATGGTACTCTCAGATGGTATGAAGTAAAAAGCTCTAATTATGACATTATAAACTAATACTTTAATTTTTTTACTTGCATTGATACGTTATGGTCATGGACTCCAACAATTAGGTTTTTGGAGGTTAAGATTATTTAAGACCATCTTCTGAAACTAATACGTATTTGTATGTAGGTTTACTTTAAGTTTGTATATTTTCTGGATTTTTAATGTACCTAACGTTATATTCCAATTGGAAAAACAAATAATAAGAAATGTCACAGTTCCATTTATAAAAAAAACCTCACATAAACTTTATTTTCGTCAATAACTCGACCTATTAAAATAAAGGATAGAAATTAAAACAAACATTAAATTCCATTTTCATATATCGTTTATTATTCCTATCATAATAAAAATCAAACAATCGTTTAATACAACTAAAACATCAAGAAACATATAAAAACTTAAATTTCAACAACAACATAATTTTATTTCAACAATTAAAGTTATTTATACAACATTTTCTTATAACTATTTTAATTGGACAAATAACTAATTCACATTGCGGTGGGTTCTAAAATTAAATCTAAACTGACATATGAAGATGACATCACATGACGTCATAGCAGAATGTGTCAAAAACAAATTCTGACAAAGCACGTCACAAGTTTAAGAGCTAATAGAAAAAGCTAAAAAAGATTTTTTTTTTAAATAATAATTTTAGTACTTCCTAAATGTAAAAAGAATTTAATGGAAGCATAGTATGACATTATAGGATTTCAATTTAATTTTCATTTTTTACAAAAACTACTGTTTTGATGTTAAATAAAAGCGAAATTCATTTGACTTTGACCTTGAATAGGATGACTTGAATCAAGGGCCTAGAGACAGCTAGTTAGTAATTATTTAAACCGCTAGGAAACGCAGACAAAAGGTTTTGGGTTTTATTTATTTTGTCTATGGTGCTTCTTACAGTAGTCTTGTATCACTCGACTTTTCAAAACGAATATTTTAAAAACTATCACGTAATTTTGTTCTGTGCTTTGTCAAAACTTTCTTAAAACCAAAGACAATTTATTAATAAAGACGTCACACAGGTTAAGCTTGTCATACATTGCTCTCATAACTATAATTTCTTAACATTAAAACAATTTACTGGTGCTGGTTTAGGTGTAGCAATATTAATACGTGTTACAGATTTCAACATACTAAAAAAACGTGAAAATAAAATGTAAAACTCATGTTAGTTGATTGTTGTAGAAACAGAAATCGGTGGTTTTGTTTTCTACAATTAAAACGTTTGAATTTGCAAGACTTAAGTATGTTTTAGATTTCGAGAATTGACTAAAATACCGTTTGTTTAAAGAGGAATCGATAGTTTTCCATGGGCTGAAAGAAAAGTTATTCTTTTAATTTACACTGAGGACTTTAGCAACGGAATTTATCGTGTTGTTTTAGTCAGTTAAACAGATCGCTATCGGCGATGAGATCTCATGGCGATACATGCGATATGTCAATATTAATTAATTAGATTTTTTAACAACAAATACAGTATTTTTAATTCCATACAGCACAGTTAGGAAGCCAGTCCTTTAAAGTAGTACTATTCTGCTATACTGTTGTAAAAATATGTGTGTGTGTAACATTTTCTGAAAGTGACAAATACATAAATTTGTAGTATGTAATATTGACTAAATATAATAATGCAAAACACATAACACAATACTACAACAATACTAATAAAAACAACACTAAAGGAAAAAACTGAACTAATAAAACGTAATATTGTATTCAGTCGCTAATCAATTATAAGTATTTCAAAGTATTAAAAAAGTAAAAAGAACTTAAGACTTTAGAGATATTAAATATTTCATAGGGAAGAATAAAACAAAATGGCACCCAAACCGGCACAAATCCACGCTTGTAATGTGAGAGTATGGGAGACGACGAGGTCTTGTAATTAAGTTGCATTCAATTATTTATTCATAAGAGGAATTAGGCTATGACATTTTTTTTCGCTTTTTATATTTAACCATAAAACCAGCTCCAGATGACATAAACCAAAATTGATAACATACTTAAACATGATATTATTTACACATTCTATTTACACTTTATAACTACATATATTATAAACTTAATGTCAATTACTGTCATATTATTGGATTACATATTTTGCAATATTGATCTACAATTCGTTTACATGTATTTATAATATTCATCCAGGGATAATACACAAAACGATAAGCGTTTTAAATTAAGGCATTCCATTTAGAATGAAAAACCCCGCATTAGATGCGATTCGATTCATTGTAAATTGTGCGCTTAGTGGAATATCAAATAAATATTTTTTTTTCCTATTCTAAGCGCGCCAATTAGTGCGCTATCTGGAACACTACGGACGCGATTTGAATTGGTGTTATCTCAATTCGCGCTTTAAATGGAATGCCTAATGTAAGACTAAGTAACGTTTTTGTAATATAAATAAATATTTTATTTATTATACCAGCAGAAGGACTTAAAAATATTTGACATAGAAAAGGCGAAACCTGAATCGAGCCAACCTTACAGTTAAATAATGTTTTATCTCTACTAATAATTATTATACAGCTGAAGATTGTTTTTTATTTAATTGAACTATATCTGTAACTTAAAATAGTGGTCAAAATTTAACAGATTTCAGTAATCATCTTGAGAAAGGTTATGTAAAATTATGTTACGGCGATAGATAAAGCTTACAAGGTTGTGTAAATATGTGAAACAATTATTACAGTCTTAAGTATGTTAAAGAAGTGACGGGATATCGAGATATTTGTTATTTAATCTTATAATAACCACTGAACCAGTTTATACATAATTTGGTCAAGGAAGAAATAGCATCCTTGATTACCCGAAACCGCAAAGGAAACCATTGCACCAGCGGCGTGTGGAAACTAATTTACGGTGAAGGTAACTTAATGAAAGCATTCATGGGCAAAAGGTCTAAAGATAAGACTTTTTGGATATTTTGATGCTTTCAAATTATAAACAAATAAAACTATAATATTAATGTACTTTAAGATTAGAATAGATTCATACTTGTAATATAAATGTGAAAGTGCGTTACTTTTTTTGGTTTCACGCTTTAAACCACTGAACCGATAAAAAAATATATTTCATTAATGAAAAGCTACATTATGAAGCAAACTAAAACTAAACATTAATCAGCTTTTTACCGTTACAACCCGGGGCAAATGCTAGTAAAACTAGAAAATATTAATGGAGTAAAGGAATTGAAAAGGAAATTAGCTTTTAGGAGAAGAGTAGCGAAATGGATTGAAATATCTTGTAACAGTGATGACATAAATTATCACAAAGCTTTAAACTTTAAACAAAAAATGCCGATGTCCTATAATTTAAAAGCTTTTTTTTTAATTCAACAATTAGTCGTGACTTATAATCTTCCTTGTTTCTTAATATACGGCAATCACATCAGTGATGATGACCTCCTTTCTAAGGAAAGGCCTATGTCGTTGATGTGAATCAACGACATAGGCCTTTCCTTAGAAAGGAGGTTTTGGCCTACTATACTACGCTGGCCAGATGGGTTGGTACGGAGATGAACGGCATTAATAGGTCTGGTCGAAACGTCGGGCAATTCAAAGGTATTTAATACTCTTCAGCTCTTATAATATCAGAAGAGATAAAGAAACAAAAGTGATCGCCATTTGTAAATGTTTAGTTTTCCTTATAATCTCGCTTACGTTGCGTGTACTTTTAATAATGAGTCTTTTTACAAAATTGACATTAATTTGCCTAACTAACACCTATGTTTATGTTTATGTTTATATGTTTAAAGAGTAAAAACTATGATATGTTATCTATTAAATGGTGAATAGATGCTCACAAGTAACTATAGTACATTGCACGTTAACAGTAACAGGTATTGCACGATAATTACCTTCCAAATTCACGTCACTATCAGCACCATTCTGCCTCTAACTTAAATCCTAGATATTTGCTGGTCTATGCCTAATTTTGATTGAAATGTAATATTTACAATGTTCGGCACTACCACTTACACAATGTAATACCATTCTAACAGATAAAACTGGTTTTTAGATCGATAGGAAATGATTTTGTGTCCCAACACTATTCTATTAGGCGTTCTAACTTGAAAATTTAAACCCTTTATTTGTTAAAGTCTGTTCAGTCTTACACACTGTCTGGAGAGCTGGTTTCCCGCTCTTGCACGGACGTGGAAGGCTGCTCCCAGTGCGAAGGCCAGGCCCTCGCCGGGAGCGCAACCGGCCTTCATATGACGTGTTGAGGGGGTTCCTCGTCACTTTTCATGAGCACGTACGCGACGGGGCGCTTGACGTCAGCCGGCGGCGACGGCGTGCGGCGCGGGGGGCAGCCGCAGGGGGATAGGGCGCTACTGTATAATGCACTGCTATATAGAGCACCGCCGTACAGCGCCTGTAGAAAAATATTTGATCAGACACAAGGATGGGACAATTTTCATTATGTTCTCAACGTTTATATATAGGTTTTTACTAGCCAGTAACTTTCATAACACAAGTAAGCCATTAATAAAGTCAACTTGTATCTACAGGCAGATTTATTTGAATTACCTACTAATATTAGGCACAAATATTGAACAATTTTAATGCAAATGACCAAATAATTTCTATTTGGTTCTCAGAGTTCTAAAAATTATTGCCCTCCTATTTGGCTAAACTCTTGTGTTAGGAGTTGGTTAATTTTGTAATTCACTGGATGACGTTATAACCTTCAACCACTATCTACTTGCCAATAAATGAATAAAGAACTCAAGAACCATATAAACTATTTACCTGCAAATGTGCCAACTCAGCTGCTAGCTTTCCATCATCAGAAGGAATCTTCGCGAAAGGATAGAATGGGTACGGCAGCGGTGGGAACAAGGCTCGTCCCAAATCTGGTTTATCAGGCAGTAAGTGATGCGGCATCTGCATTTGGTGGACTGGATGTGGTACTGATTGTGTAACTAGCCTCGGCACTGGTGCCAAGAGTCCGTTGATACCGAAACCAAATTTAGGTTCCTTCTTTACAAGCGGTTTCGGCTTCCGTCGTGGTCTGTATTTATAGTCTGGGTGTTCTTTCATGTGCAGGGCTCTGAATAAAAGAGAAAATTTAGTTTACTAATTGATAAATCAAGGAATGGCGTCTTTTATCGTTCTATATCGTTTTTTTAAACCATTATCAACTTTGATGGTGACTCATGGTTAGTGTCTAAGTCTACTGACGAGGTGATGCTGTTCACAAATACCAAACATACATACCATCCGATTTTTAAAGTTATCTTAATTTGAACTGGGAACCTTTTGAAAGTGTTGCTATGTTTGCAAAAGAATTTATTTTGATTTATTCAAATTATTTTATCCAATTCTTGCATACCTACTAGACTTTTATATTTGCATCTTCGACCATTTCTTTCTAAACTTGACTGCGTCGCTATAAACTTTGTTGCATAAAAATGTGGAATTTAAATTATTTATCAATTGATTGCGCTCTTTGCGCTGCTTATCGTGGATATTATATTTACCAGGAGATTAAGAATCAAGTCTATCATATTTTTTGCGAAAAATGAAGGTAACTAAAACTTTAAATATTTTAAGTTCATATTCATTTATAAGGCCAAAAATTTTCCGTAATATTCTTTACATTACTATGTTATTTTTCGTGGCACTGAAACGTTAACAGGAGTTTTATTTATTTATACATCATGCACTTTTGGTGCATTGGCGGACTATTATCAAAAATAAAACGAGAAAAAAACAATGAAACAGAAGTATAACTCAATTTGTCTCCACAATACTATAAGTTTAGCGTCAAAATGCCACAATAAAACGCCGCTGGGCGATATAACATTATTATTTATGCAATAAAGCGTGCAATTGTCGCGAACGCCCGGCCGCCCTTAAAACAACAATGTCGATTCAACAATGCGCGGATTATTGCATTGTCCCACTCACAATCGGGTTTCTGACTGTACCACTGCACTATCTACGTTTTGAAAACATGCAAATTTCAATTCTGTTTATACAGAATAAAGTTGAATATTGAATGTAAACGGATGTATTTATGACGTATAGTGTTGGGACACAGCGTCCGATTATGCCAGCTTTGTGATAGAATCGCGATTGTCAGCGAGTCGATTGTAATTATTCGAGTGGACCACGCTAGCGGATGATAGTTCGTCATTGCGCTGAGGTTTGAATGCGAATGTTTGTTGAGTGTGATTGTATATATATATGTGTGTTATATATATTGTGTGATGTTATAATTTGTATTTCGAACTGCCCCGTGTTAGTCTGTATGTTTTGTTATTACAAGTAATGAGCTTTTGAGTAGATTGTACGATTAGAGTCCAAGTATTTAATTACGAACGACTAGTTTTTGTCCGCGACTTCGTCTTCGCGGTGGTCGACATCAGACATCGTAGAAGATACAATGAATCAAGATTTTTTGTTGTAAATAAATAGAAGGCCGATTCTCGGCCAAGACAGAACTTTTATTAAAAGAACTGGCCTTCTGGAGGCGACTGTCAGCACACGGTGCTTACGATACAAGAAATCAAATGCCTAATACAAAAAAAAGTGTATGTCATGTATGGTTATTGGTTTGAGTGTGCAAAGTTACTTGAAAGAGATAATGCGTTACAAACAAGCGTAAGATGTCGGGTGGTCGTGTCTTCCATTCTCGTACACATAGTTAGTTTGGGTGTCAAAAAACTGCTGACTGGTTTTTTGGTCAAGTGGTTAGTGACCCTGACTGTTAAGCCGAAGGTCATGGGTTCGTTACCTGCCCGGAACTAATAAATGTCTGATGAGCACAATCTATTGTTATCATCATCATCATCAACAGCCTTTAATAGTCCACTGCTGGACATAAGCCTCTCCTTAGAAAGGAGGTTTTGGCCTACTATACCACGCTGGCCAGACGGGTTGGTATAGGGTTTGTGTCAAGTTTTCCTTCTGTCTGCAGTGCTGTTGTCCTGCGTAGTTTTTTTCCCTTAGTCAGCTCTTACGACACCCACGGGATGAATATGGGTGGTGGCACTCTGTATTCTTAATCCGTCACCACACGGATATTGTTAAGTGTTAGTTATCTATAATATGTATATATTTAGAAATTTATAAGTATGTGTATTAACAGTCATGTTACATAGTACATGTTCTGGCTAGTTTGGGGTCTGACTGCCGTGTGTAAGAATTGTGAAGTTATTAATCTCGATTGTAAAAAAAAGGTTATTGATCTTGTTAAAGCATTTGACACAGTCTCTATACCAATTCTATACTATCACGAGTGCCTCATAATGAGATACATACAATTGAAACTGTTCAAAAGTTACTTTACAAACAGAACACAGTGTGTGAAAATCGACGATCTGATAAATGACGAGATTCAAGTAAATTTTTGGTTCCTCAGGGTAGTATTTTGGGCCCGACTTTGTTTCTTGTGTATATCAATGATCTGTGTCATATAGAGCATCCAATGGCCAAAATAGTAATATTTGCCGATGGCACAGCACTTTTTGAGCGGAAAAACATACAACAAAGCGTTTTTAGATTGGTTTTAATGTCGTAACAAAATGGCTGAATGACAATATCCTAACTCTTAATGTGGATAAGACAAAATATATGACATTCTCGTTAAGAAGCCCTGGCCCTAAAATAATAAATATGCTATTAAGTTATGTGTTAACGACAGTGAAAGACAGATAATGACAGACCATGTTTTAATAAAAGTGCCGGCTGTTTATGTTCCAAAACTTGCAAAAACTAATACAATTATTTGGGTATTATCATTGATCATAGATTAAATTTTCAGGCACAAATTACTTTGTTAGCGGCAAGAACACGTAAACTAATATACTTAAAACCTAAAAGGCCGCTGATTTTTAAAAAAAGCCGTGTGGTGTCGTGGGACACCCGATAGGAACGAAGTTGTTACGATCGAGTAAAACTGATTAGACACGATTTTAATTACAACGCCATCTATGAAAGCGGCTATTACCTACATATTTTTCAGTTGGTTTCTAATTAAAACAATTTATACATTGGTAAAATCTCCTTGAGAAATGATGTCGAATACAATATTTTTTGCTCAACCTAAGAACATAAATTTTAATTTTACTATTCGATAGATGGCGCTGAATGACTGACAAGTGACAATTCAAAATAAAAAGTGTCGTGACCAATTTTCGTAAGATTTTTTTCCGTCTAGCCCCCTTTCACAACGCGCGATAAGGAACTTCGTTCCAATTAAAAATTTATGTCCAGAAAGTGTTGTATAATATGAAAATTATTGTTATTTTCATTCTCAGTGAACTAAGATTTTAATGAAAATTATAAATATACATAAGACGATCTTAGTAAGTGTCGTCATCGAGTTTAAATATCGAGAGTAGCGACATGGGAAGTAAAATCAATAGACAGAAGCATAGCCCCAGACTATTAATATGACTTTATAAAAACACACTGTGGTATACCTGTCTCTATCCCAAAAATATATGAAAATGTATTACGTGAAAATAATACCAAAATAGAGAAAATCAAAAACATGTTGCATTGTGTTGCCTGTAGTATTGTATTTTTCACCTCTTTGATTAACTGCCTTTTTAAATGTATTTTTGTATTTCTGTCATAATTCTACTACTACTCGTAAAATCTCTCTTGATGATCTATTTCGATATTAGTTACTACTACTAACATAAAAATAATATTTGTTTAACGGCTCAAAGCTATTTTTAATTACTTTCCTCTTGATTTATTTACAAATGCTAATGAAAGAAATAGTTATACATTTTTTTTAAATATTTAAATTGCTTCCATAAGGAACAACACATAAAATATTACAAGAATTGTCATAAAAGTGCAGCTACTGAAGACCGCAAACATTCTTATCAACGGTTATAGAAACGTCCTATCTTCCGAACCAAAAAGCATGGGGTTCATCGACCCCAACACTATCAATTCCTTCAATTACTGTTTGTTAACCAAATAAATATGATATCGTAAGGAAAATAACACAATATCTCCGGTCAAGAAAAAACCTAACAACTTTTTTTTATCGGACACTTTTTGGCATATTTTTTCTATGAAAGTGATCGAGTATTATCAATATCGATGTTTTTTCTATAGAGCTAATCGAATACGGTGTGGATACGATTTTTGATATGAACGAACGTTGTGTGTATTGAATTTGGTATGTCAATATGACATATTGAGTTTTTTTATTAATGCTTTTTTGTTGTAGGTGTGGCTCCGAGGAATTGTTAAGAATATCGTAAGTCTATGGTATGTTTCACATCACTTCTAAATTCTTGACGATTGATATTTGTTTAATAGGGTGATTGATATCTATTTAAATCTTTTCCTAATGTTTAATAAAATATGAGAATGGCAAAGCAAAAAATTATCAGCTGGAGATTCTTTTTAATTTCTATGATATGGTAAATATCTATTTTTATCTAACTATCTGTGTTTAAAAATATAAATGACAACAAACTCGACTCAATTACTTGCAGTTGAGTTAATACTTAGAGCTGGGTTAGTTAGTTAGTCGGAGTTAGTCATTGCTTGTTACATACATCTTGCAATTAAAAATAAACCTAATTTGCATATGGTTGCATTTCAGATTGAATAGTTATGTAATTAATATTCATTTTTAACCAAATTCAATAAAAGTGGGAGTTTCTCATTCTATTATAACTTTTAAACGTTTTGTTACATTAGAATTCCGTTAATACATGACGGCATTCTGATGTAACAAGACTTTTCATATTTCCGTTTGATCACATTAAAAGTCGAAGAAAAAATACCTCTGGAAAGAGTGGAAAATTAAGGAATTAAGAATTTTGTTTATTACAATTCAGCATAATTAATCGACTGCACGTATTAGGTAGTGGTTTAAGCGGTCGCCACGCCGCCTAATACTCCTAGTGTTGTGGGTCCGATCCCCACGTGGGACGACACTTTGTGTGATCTACAAATTGTTGTTCTGAGTCTGGGTGTTCTTTGTGTCCGTTTTATGTATATTTGTATAAGTCCCCCGCGATACAGGATATATTCCTAATGCGGGAGTTGTCTATTTATAAAAAGATAAAAGAA